CTCCCCCCCCATGAGCCACAGCTTCATCCCGCACCTGCCCAAGCCCCGCTCCCTCCCTCACCATGGGGGGCGTTGATCCCCCCACGCTCCTTCCCTCCTCCCTCTGCTTTCACCACAACAGACTTACCAGTTGGACACAGCTGTATTGGAAATCAGATCTGCTATCAGCCCCCAAAATCTCTATCAGTGCATCCCTATACCTTATTAAGATGAAGGTAGAGGGTTTAGAGCCCACTCGTGTTTGGGTTCAGGTGCCTGTGGAGCACATTCTGTGGCTGGGGTGCCCAGTGGCACCCTTACAATGTTTTAATACCAAGCGCTGTCTTCCAGGTTCCATGAAACACCTCCTCCAGTTTGAGACAGAACGGCAGAGGCATAATGTTTCCTTGATGATTGCTATTGACCTGCTGAAGAGACTCTACTCCACAAGTGTCGCACCCTTTGTACTGCTGAGGACATGGGGATTGCAAACAACAAATGCCCTGTCTCCAGTCAAAGTAAGAAGTCTGACTAGTGAGAACCATACATGGATTCTGAACCAGTTTGTGATGTCACAAAGAGTAGAACTGTTTGGAATTTTTGGATGGAGCCTCTTTGTTGGAAAATATCTGTTTGTCCAAAGTGAGGACTGTCAGGTTGAGGGTGGAATGGAGAGGCTCCAAAATAGCCAGCAGCCCAGTGATTATGGCACTTACCTGAGATGTGTGTGGCCCAGGTTGGAGTGCCTGCTCTTCCTGATTTAGAGCAAGCATTGGAATCCAGATTCCCGTAGCCTTGGTTATAGAGCCAGCTTCTTTCTGGCCCAGTGAGTATTTATACATAGTTTAACAGCTGCAACAGGATAGATGGAAAGAAACTGATGCTGAAGGCCTGGTGAAATACTTTAATTAGTGAGCTGTTCTGGGCTGGCTCAGACTTCTGCACCCTCATGTTTTTATGGTATGGAGTTTGAAAGGCTGTGGGTCCATGAACAGCGCGTGCCCCAGTGGCTGGGGGGGCACGGCTGTGCCGGTGGTGGTGGGAGCCTGGCAGTGGGGAGCTCCTGCAGACACTGCTGGCAGTGTTGGCAGGGGGTGGGGGTGGCAAGTGCTGACCATGGGCCAGCAACCACCTGCAGGCGGCAGCAGCCAAGGGGCGATCAGGGGCCACCTGTGGACAGCGGTGTGGTGAGCGGTGACTGCCTGTAGACACCACCAACAGCGTCAGTGGTGCCTTTTTGCAGGGAATGCACATGCACACGCATGCACCCCTTACGTGTCACCCCTGCATGGGTCTGTTGTGTTGTGGAATGGAAATTAATTTCAGATCTTTGAAATGTTTTTCAAAACAGCTGCTGTTTTCCATCTAGCACCAACAAAGAGCTCCCAGCACTGCCCTGCAAGGGAGGGGTCCTGGGGTCAGGTTCTGGTCCACAGTGGTTTTTCTGTCCCCTGCTTGTAATGTATCTCCATTACAATGTGTAAGCAGCAGTGGGTGAGTTTCTGACCCCATTAGAGGTAAGGGCAAGAGCCACAACCCAAGGCCCTCCCTTTTCCAAGGCAGCATGTCTCTCTGAGTCATACCCCTTCTCTTCTTGGCTTCCTTATGGGCCAGCTTTGAGTGGGATTGGAGAGTGCCCATTGCTGGGTGGTTGGTTAGAGCATTACACTGAGAAGTGGGTTTTCTTTGAAGGTATTTGGTAGTTGGTCCCAGGCTGAACAGACACTTTAGAATAAGCATCCAGGGCTCTGTGGATGCCTTCGGTGGGTACTAAAAGGAACACTTGCTGCTTCACTACTCTGTGCTGATGTGCCTTCTTGTTTTCATATGGTCTTATCTGAATAGAGAGAAGACAGGGCAAGCATGAAAAGCCTTTCTTGCTGGGGCAACCCTGGGTTCAGGGTGCTTGCTACAGAAGGGGTACTTCATCTGGCTTTTGCCAACTTTCCTAGATAGCCTAGATAATTAGATTGTGCTTAATTGCTTTGTCTCCTTGTCCCTCAGTGGTGACGGAATCTTACTTAGTTTGGTAAAAGTGAGGAGAATGCAGCTGTTTTCTCTGTCTTTTCTAAATGTAATTGTTCATCAATTTACAAGTGATTTTTTTTTTTTTTCTTTCCCACACTAGGAGC